CAAATCACCGTTGCGGAAATGGCCGATTTGGATTTAAAAATACTAGTTTTAGAGTACGTGCGATGCGCGTGTACTCATTTCTTGAATAAAAACTTCTTAAAATTGACATAAATATTATTTAAAAAATGTGTCTTGTCACTTGTGGGTAAGATATTAGGATTCACAACGTTAAATCTCAGTTTACATTTTCGTTGTTATAATATGTTTGTACTTCAACTAAATATTTTCAAAGGTTTATATTCTAGTCTTTTATTAATTATAGGTAAATATTAACTCGTTAATAATATTCTATTGGATATTGTTGGAATTGTAAATATGAAGGATACGGCATCTTTATTAATGAAGGATAGGGAAGATTGGCAGAATAAACGTGGTAAAGATTTTGTGGTTTAGTTGCTAATTTTGGGTTGATGGTGATTTTTATTTCTTTTTAATAATTTATATAAGGTAAAAGTTTACTTAATTTTAAAGTCCTAAATATTGTGACTTCATACTTAATTCAAATAAGGAATAATTTGACAAGAAATATTTTAGTTGTTTTCAAAGTCCTAAATATTAAGAAATAATTAAATTACTATTTTGTCTAGTGTGAACTCTATTTTAAAAGAGTAAAAAGACGAACAATATTTCGCTAAGAGTAGGGTACGCGCTTTGTGCGTGTTCCCCTTGTCAATAAGTGAATAATTTTAGAAAAATTACATAAATAATACTAAAAAATATTTTTGAGTTATAATAAAAAATAAAATAAAATGTATAACTTTTTAAATATATATATATATATTGATCTCATATCCAGTGTAATGAAAGTCCTTATAGTTTTATAATAATATCTTATGAAAATTATTGGTAATGAACAAACAATTAAAATTAACTACTTTTATCATGATGAGGTTGGCATATAGCTCCTAAGAAAAAAAATTGATACGTGAAAATATAAATGTTAAAAATAATTAATATCAAGTCAATAATTTGTAATATTAAATTAATATATACATATATATAATAGAAAGCTTTCATTTGTTAGAATATTTGCAAAAAAAAAAAAAAAAAAAA